CTTCAGATCCGTTTCCCCTGGATCAGGCAGGGACTTCGGAGCGGGGATAGGTCTTGGAATTGATCCGATCTTCTTTCCTGCAGCTTGCACCTGGTTGATGGTCATGGTGGGTTTTCCATGGTTATGTTTGACCAGCTCATCAGGATCGTACAAGGTTCTTCCGGTCTTCATGATGACTTCAACCCCGGCTTTCTTTGCAAGTTCCGTCACCTTATCATCCCGCTCTCTTGCATATGCATCGGTATCTTTCTCGAACACCAGATGTGTGATCTTCCATGCCTTGAATAGCTTGGGTAACAATGTTTGCGGTGCTTCACGAATAAGGAAGAGTTTCGACTTTGGGTTGAGCTTGGTTATCGACTGGGAGAGATCGTTTTGACAATCCAGGAGATACTGCCAGCGATTGGGGCCCACTCGAGCGCGGTAAACGTAATGCGGATCCCAAGTCCATATAGGGTAGAGACATTCTGGCTTGAGATCCAATGCGGCTTTGAGAGCTGGAGAATCGTGGAGTCTTAAATCGGACCGGAACCAGTAAATCACTCGTGGTTTCGACATCTCTCACGCACGTGTGGTAGTTGAAGTTGGTAGGGTGAAGCTTCGGGAAGAGAAAACGGGGATCTGCTCAGTCGATTCCATGTGATGGACCCACCGAACTACAGCAAAGATAATACCTAGGTACTCTGCAACTACTGGGGGAAAACCGCATGGCTGGTATGAATGCTGTCATCGATCGGAGCTAGGGCACTCGCTAATCTTCGTTGGTCCATCCCAGATCCCAGACACCAATCGGTCTCACTGCTCTCTCCGACGGTGGGACCTGGGACGACGATTGAACCCTGAGCTTATGTGAACATGCTGAGGGTTTTGCAGCTGCAGGTTCGACGTTGTTTGACAGCTACTCGAAGCCCTGGTGGTTGTTGCCCTTGACACAGCACACAGCGGATGCGCCTGCGGTCTCATCTCATGTCAATCTTTGCCAAGGCCTGCCCAAGGTGGACGGCAATTGGGTAGCTTTTTCCTGCGTAAAGATGGCGGTCAGGAAATTTGCCCATCCCTCTGCGCATGCCCAATCTCAAACGCGCCTTTCGCAGCGTGAAGCCTTAAAATCAGCCAAGTTGTTCCGAGAAACCCAAACGCAGGGCACTGGCCAGACACGGTCCAGGGTGCTCTCAAGGCACATGAGTTGTCTTGTTGGGCAGTATCACGGCTTTGCTAGCCGAAATGAGGTGCGCTGGCTGCGGGGACAATTGGTGGCGCACATGGGCGAATAGCAATTGTCGGGTAGCAAGTAGCACCGAAAGACGTTGTTGAGATTGAGAGGGTGCAGCTGCACACTGCATGCAGAGATAGTAGCAGCTATAGTCAAAAGCAAGCACAGGGAAAGCAGGGCGGCGGGTGCGCGTGCGATGATGGAAGAACGGCTCACTAGCGGGCGGGTTCATGCGTCATGGCCTCGGGGAGCTTCGAGGTTTGGCCCAAGCTCCCTTAAGCTCGTGGACCCATGGTTTGTTGTGTGCAAACAATCTCTCAACAGATACTGCAGGCGCTTTGCCCGAAAGAGTGCAGAAGGGACTCTGACAGCGCAGAGGGTCGAGCTGGCGTGAAAGCGCGTGCTTGCTGTCCCGGTGTGAAGTACTTAGAATTGCCGTGCTGCAGTTTACCGCTGCTCGCGTCGGTACCACTTGCACTACAGATCAGCGCCTGCCTCGACACATTCGCTGGCTGCGGGGAAACTACCACAACCCGTATCGAAGCTCCGCGCTCTACTCTACTCTAGACCCATCTCCCCAGGCCTCACCCGCCGCCCACTTGCCCTCCACCTTTCTCTATTCTTCACCGACCACCAAGATGGCACAACCACTGGAAGATGCGTACATCACGGTGAGCAACATGCAGGTAGTACCACGCACGCGACCTAATCAATCTTGCAGCTTCTTATGAGCGATTCCTACCTACCAGGCGCAGTCGTTCTTGCAAACTCTCTGCGCGATGCCGGCACCACCAAGAAGCTTGCCGTGCTCGTCACGATGGAGACGCTTTCAGCTGATACCATTTCAGAGCTCAAGGCGCTCTACGACTACCTGATTCCCGTCGAGCGCATACGGAATGCCAATCCTGCGAACCTCTATGTGATGGGGCGACCTGATTTGGCCTTTGCATTCACAAAGATTGCTCTGTGGAGACAGACTCAGTTCCGCAAGCTCGTGTACCTCGACGCAGACGTGGTAGCGCTGAGGGCGTTGGACGAGCTGTTCGACATCGAGGCGCCGTTTGCTGCCGCTCCAGATATTGGCTGGCCAGATGCTTTCAACAGCGGTGTCATGGTCATCACGCCAGACATGGGCGAGTACTGGGCACTTCAGACTATGGCAGCGACTGGCGACAGCTTCGATGGCGCAGACCAAGGCTTACTGAACCAGTACTTCGAACACCGTCCGTGGCAGCGATTGAAGTTCACCTACAACTGTACGCCAAATGCCGAGTACCAATGGGAGCCCGCATACCGCCACTACAAGCGCGACATCGCCGCGGTCCACTTTATCGGCAAGAACAAGCCCTGGATGGCCCAACATGCGGGTGGGAAGGGTGTCTATGGAGAACTGGTAGCGCGATGGTGGGCGGTGCATCAAAGGCATCTGCACAAGGCGAAGGGCCAACGAGCTGGTGAGGGAAAGAGCACTCTTGGTGACTCCATGCTTTCTTCCTCTACTCCTGCCCCTCTCGAAGCCTCCGCCGTTACGACCGAGCCTCCCATGACCGAATTTGAAGATGAGATTCAGAATATTGACCAAGGTGTGATAGAACCAACCCCCACGGTCGAACAACGCAAGTTCTCTGCGCCCGAGATGCAGTGGGACGCCACCAAGTACGCTCTTTTCACATTGAGATCACTGGGTAACAGCTGACAAGTCCAGGTTTGAGCCACCAGCGTCATCGAGACCCGAAGCTGCCAACTTCCCTACGCAAACGTATGCCTTCAGTGATAGCCGATCGCTCTTCAAGGCACCACGAGCCTATCCCGATGCGCCGCGAGACATGTGGTACCAGGTTCCAGAAACCAGGGAAGCGCCCAAGCCCATCTTCCCATGGGAGCAAGAGGCGGATAGACCTAAGCCGACGCGTGTGTTTGCCGAGGACTTGTCACCACAGCCAACTCCCCAGGTAATGTCGCCGACACATGCCTTCTCAACCACACACTTCGACGAGAGCGATAAGGTCGCTCCAGTCGCAGCGGAAAAGGTTAGTAATATTGGTAATACTACCGCCTCGAGCTCTACTGACCAAGCCTGGCAGTCTTACCAGAACAACAGCGGCAACGCCTGGGATAATGTTCCGGGCATCGACAGCTATGTTCGTGCCATATCGGATCTGAGTGGAATACGGGGTAAGAACCAGTCGCTACAACAGACCACAGGCACAGACGATATCAGCTCGCCTATATTGGATCGCAAGCAACGCCGTGAGAGCTTAGTTCTCACCGACTTCCCCTCCGCAGTCGAGCGACCGAGTCTCCCTGTAACACCTGCGCCGGTTCGTCGTCCAATGTTCTGGGGCGAAGAGAGAAATCAGACAGGCGAGCTACCTTCTGCCACAGGAGTGCCTGATCAGACCGAATGGGTATGTTTACGTTCCACCTTTTCCTCTTTCAATATTGAGCTGACTTTGAACTACTAAGAATCCTGAGGAGAAGCTTGACCAGTTACGGCGGTCATCCCTGATCGAGTTCGAGCACCTGAAGAAAGACGAGCACCCAAACCCACCAATGCGTGCACTTCCCGAGCATTCAATTGCCGGGGAGGAGAAGACTGGCACTTCGTTTGGACTTGATGGAACGAACGATCAGGGCATTCCCGGATCCTTCCCCAGCGTTATCGAGAAGGACTTTGCTAGCAGCGACCCTGCACCAGACGTGCGACCGAGTTCCAGTGATCGTTCCTTCGCACATGGGGACGAGAGCTCTGCGCCCCAGCACTACTCCCAGCAGGACTTTTCCTCTGGATCTTCCAGCACCTTTGGGCAGAACTTCTCAAGCTCGACATCGCAGGTAACATCCACGGAACAGACTGCCAGTCAGTCTTCGCAATCAGTCCAGGCTGGAGGCATGACTTTCACTGTCCCCGTCTTCGAGGAGGGTACTTCAGCTGATGCCCAAGCCGCTGGGGATGATCTCAGTCCGACACAGAGTCGGACCTAGAACAAGATGATGAACGAATGATGGATATCAATGTTTGCGGTACCAATTTGTCGGTTATTGACCATGGACGATCTCTTGCTGCTAACGATGGAGGATACATGTTGCGATCTCAGTTTTACCCTTTCGTCTTGATACCTGTATGTTTCGTGTCTTTCGTTCGCGAGCCTTCTAGCATTTGCATCGTCACTGCATAGCGATCTGTTGTAGCTCATTATCCATACTTGCTTGCAGGGTTTGCTTCAAATTGTAAGATGTACAGGGTGATGGACTCGCTTCACTCAATGGAAATCTGACCACCTTGGATCCTACATTGACGCTGGGTCTTCTAGTTTGCAGATTTTCATCGTTATGTAGGCTGCAGGCCCGTTCAGACTCTTCCTTGAATGAGTTGGAATGCCAACGATGACTGAAGACCGAGGCATGCGCGAGAATATGCAGGGAACATTTCGTGCATGCTTCCCTAGGCAAGCTTGGGCCAGCTGATCCACTCGTCGGAAGCTTGACAGGCTTGACTTGACCGACGGTGTGGTTGGCGTTCGCGCGTTTGCCCTGTGCCCTCTCAATCATGCCCCGCTTGCCCCTCCCCACCCAATTTGCCCTACGAGCACCTGCCCGATTCATCTCAGCCTGTAGACCGCGAATAAGCGCCACAGCCACTCATAGAAGCCTCTTCTGTCATCCACGAAGCTTCCACTTCTCGCCCTCACTGAGACTCGTCGCTACGCCTATCCGCTGCGACCAATACACGCCCGAACGAATCCCCAACGCCGCCTGGCCGTATCTGTACTACCCGTTCAACAAGATGGCACACCTCGATCCGTATTTCAAGCAGGTAGATGCCTTGCAGGGAAACTTTATTGAGAGGCTGAGGGAGGCGGTCGCTATTCCCAGTATCAGCTCAGAAGACCAGAGGAGACCCGATGTAGTCAAGGTACGATAGACATTCCCAAAGAAGCATGCAGTGGAGTCTATGTTTTGGGCCAAGATACTGGATGCATATCTGAATGTATGACTGATTTCAAACACAGATGGGCCACTGGTTGGCCGACCAGATCAAGGCACTCGGTGGTGAAGTTGAGCTCCGCGAGCTCGGAAAGCAGCCTGGTCGCGAGCACCTTGACCTTCCCCCGTGCCTTCTCGGACGCTACGGAAACGACCCAACGAAGCTCAACGTCCTCGTTTACGGTCACTACGACGTGCAGCCCGCGAACAAGTCTGACGGGTGGGCGACCGACCCCTTCACCCTGAGCATCGATGATAAGGACCGCATGTACGGACGCGGTAGCACAGATGACAAGGGTCCGGTTCTTGGCTGGTTGAACGCCATCGAGGCCCACCAGAAGGCTGGCGTCGAGCTACCAGTGAACTTGGTCATGTGCTTCGAGGGCATGGAAGAGAATGGATCAGAAGGTCTGGACGACACCATCCGCGCCGAGGCCAAGAAGTTCTTCAAGGACGTCGACGTTGTCTGTATCTCGGACAACTACTGGCTAGGAACTGAGAAGCCATGCTTGACATACGGTGTCCGCGGATGCAACTACTACCAAGTTGAGGTTTCTGGCCCTGGTCAAGATCTGCACTCCGGTGTCTACGGTGGAATGACACACGAGCCCATGACCGACTTGGTTCGCATCATGAACTCCTTCGTCGACCCTGATGGCAAGATCCTCATCAAGGGCGTTGACGATCTCGTCGCTCCCCTTACTGACGAGGAAGCCGCGCTTTACCCACCCATCGCCTTCACCATGGACGGTCTGAGGGAATCACTAGGTGGTGCAGTAACGATCCACGACAGCAAGGAGGAAGCGTTGAAGCACAAGATGCGATACCCCTCATTATCGCTCCACGGTATTGAGGGTGCTTTCTACTCTGAGGGAGCAAAGACCGTTATCCCAGCAAAGGTTATTGGAAAGTTCTCCATCCGCACAGTACCCAACATGGAGATCGACCCAGTTACCAAGCTGGTTGAGAAGCACGTCAACGACGAGTTCGCTAAGCTGAAGTCGAAGAACACAATGAAGTTCAGCGTGGTACACTGCGGAAAGTGGTGGGTCGAGGACCCCAACCACCCCAACTACACGGCTGCTGCCAAGGCTGTCGAGCGTGTCTTTGGTGTGAAGCCAGACATGACTCGGGAGGGTGGTAGCATTCCTGTTACACTGACCTTCCAGGAAGAGCTTGGCAAGAACGTCCTGTTGCTGCCAATGGGTAGCTCGACTGATGCTGCTCACTCGATCAACGAGAAGCTGGACAAGAGGAACTACATCGAGGGCACCAAGCTGCTAGGAGCCTACTTGCACTACGTTGCAGGAGAGATGAAGCGCGAATAGAATGCCGCACTATGAGTAACATCGTCGGTCTTGTTCCCGTAAATACTTGGATGGTTTGCTACCTACAAGAAATAAATACCCATTCAGCAGTGTGCTTCTCAGTTGACCCGGCTCGATGAAACGGCAGGCTAATGTCGTGCATTTTCATCGATATCTTAGGATTATCACAATTCGCACAACGTTGAGATATTGTCTTGCGCACTGTACCCTGATTATGTGCCGGCGGTAGTCTGGGGGTGGAAGATGGGATCCCGCCCAGCTTTGACCACCCCGGCGCGGAACAACTAAAAAAGTTCGGCATCGCTCCACCAGGAACGGCCAGCACCGTGCCAACGCGTGCACCACAGCAGGCACGCCAACCCACACACCCAATTCCACAATGTCAACATGTAAATCCCTCCTCCGAGCCTGTCCCTCGCAACAACGGACCACGCCGTCGCTCCTGCCCCTCACGCAATGCCGCTTCGAATCCACAACTCGGCGACACAGAAAACTGCTCGCACTCCCCGAAGCCCCATCCTACACACCCGACCGCTCTGCGCCCACACTGGTCTTCAATCCGCCGTCCTCGGCGCCAAACGTCTACCACACCCCGCTCAAGTTCCTGCCCAAGGAAGATAAGCGGAGACAGTTATACGCTGCCGCCCAACAATACGCAACCAAACTGGCGCACACACGCCAATCCTCGCCCATTGCCGCACCAGGCACACCGCTCAGCACAGAAGGTTTCTTGCCTCCGCGCCCTTCAGCATCCCTGCCTGCGCCGCTCCGGAAGCCGTACGAGAAGACGTATCATCTCAACGAGGCGGACATTGCCGAAATTAGGAGACTGAGGAGTGCGGATCCGGATACGTGGACTAGAGTTAAGCTGGCGGAGAAGTTTGGCTGTAGTCAATTCTTTGTGGGCATGGTGGCTAAGAACGAGGCGAAGGCGGAGAGGGTGGAGAAGGAACATGAGGCTGCGAGGAGGAAGTGGGGTACAAGGAGACGGGAGGCTAGGGAAGATCGGGGGAGGAGGAAGGTGCTTTGGGGGAGGGACGCTTAAATGGATGTTGTTTCTGGGGCTATTTGGGTGGCTCTTGTATGATCTTAGCTTAGATGGCTTGGAGCCTGGGTTGTTGGGTTACGGAAATGATGGGGATGTGGTATACGATATGTGTAAAGAGCAAAGGAATATTCGTAGTCTGGTATATCATACTACCGATTTGAAACACATACTGATCAGAGCTGTTTTTGAATCATGGTCTAGAGGGTATCATCCCAAGCTGTTGCAAACGCCAGACTGCTTCATGAAATACCACGCATCACCTTCCACCCTCTCTTTCCATCTCAATCCCCTTCCCTACCCTGAAAACAAATCCTTCGCCGTCTCTCGCGCCCACACCAACCCTCCAGCACTCAAATCGGCCGCGACTAACCACTTCCCATCGCTGCACTCTCTCCTTCTCAGCATCTTCCACACTAATCGCCGGAGCGAACTTGAGCACATCTACCCGCCGAACTGCTAATCTTGTAACTGGGGAGCCCTGTGGCCACGATGTAGGCAACGACGGCCGGTACGATGACAGCGTGGTAGATTGCGATGTCAGTATTGTAGCGCAGGAGAGTAGCTTGCCCAGTTTCGCAACGCTGGTGGTAAGCTGTATGGATGCCGTCGCGAGGGTATTCGAGGAGCTAGATACGGTAGTACTGGTATTTCGTATCGACCAGACGAACGCATCGATGTCTTCGAGGATGATGGAGTGGATGCGACGGTGCATACTCTTGTGTTGAGGATTATCATTGAGAAGGTATTCTGGTAGCGAATCGAGTGTCGCTAGGAAAGAAGGCCAGGACTGTGGGCGGAAGATGTGGAGGTGTGGTAGTGCAGCCTTGATTACGGATTTCATGTCGGATTTGAGGACGTCATTGATTTCCTTTTCCGTGGCGACAAGGCTGGTTTTGAAAAGGCTGGACATGACTTCTACTAGTCGAGGGATGCTGAAGTGGTGCAGTGGGTCGAATAGTATGACGGCTGCTTCTTGGCCATAGAGAGGGGCGGAAGAGCAGCTGGGAGGGAGGATGGCGTGGGCGATGATGAGGTAGATGAGTGAGGTTTTTCCGGCTCCTGAGGCGTGATGGGTTGGCGGTGGAGACATTATTTCGAGGATTGGCGAAGATGAGTTTAGCATTAGGCGGTCGATTTCTGGTATGTTGAAATGAGAGGGTTGGGCGGTGTTTGTGTTGTTGGCTCTGTCAGATGAGTATCAATTTGTGAGTCGCGAGAGTAAGAAGTGAGAGAAAAGATTATGTGAATTGGGAATAATAAACGTACATTCCATCTTCCTGCACCATAAACTCACGTAGAGACTTGAACAGCTGTGTTTTCGTTAACATTACTCACCTCGCGCATCGAGCGTGTGTCGATATGACATACCGAGCTCAGGTCCTCGACCTCAACTTCCATCAACAACTTTTCCCCCAACCTCTTCGCCCCATCACCGTTCATTTCCATCTCCCATGCAGATCACCCCTTGATCCTCTTCAGTCCTTTCGAAGCACGACCCTGCTCTTTCAATATCACTTCCCCCACGCAATGGCGCCACCAATCTCCACAATCTCGGTAACCGACTTGGAAGCTTCGATCAACACTCTGCCGTCGGGAAAACGACGGAATCCACCGGTCAACCTGAGCGACTGCGCGCTAAAAGAACTCGTGCAGTATAAATGCAACGTAGAGGCGCCGAAGAAGAAGGGCGGTGCGCCGCAAATTATATGCGAGCCGCTGGTTCACCTGCTAAGAAAGTGAGTGTTGGTGGAGTGAGGTGGAAGGCACGAGGTCTTGGCATTGCGACCAGGAACTGGGAGTTGGTGTTATCAGGTTGAGCGCATGGCTAATGAGATTGTAGGTGTTCAGGAGGTTTGACTGTGGAGACTACGGCGTGGGAGGAGTGGAAGGCGAAGCAGGAAGGTGCGATGGTTGAGCGATGAGATCAAGTCACCACCCACAGCCTCACACAACATCATACATGAGGTGGCGGTTTACACCGGAGACATGATTACTATACATGTATTTTCAACTATGAGATCTTGCTAAGGATTCCAGGAGTAAATCCAATCTAGATATGAACTCGATGGGGTGAATAATGAGTTCGCATTGACCAAACTTTGTGTAGCCTTCAGCTACGCTGTGTAGGAGAGCGAGTAGACTATGGTACAACTTGCAACGAAAAAAATAGACAATCAACGCCGCCTTAATGCCTAAAACGTATCTCGAAGCCCCGCGGCCGAAATGCAGATACCCAAACGCCTCGCTATCAAAATGCTGTAAAACGACTTTTCTGAAGGTGTCGCCGCCATTGACCGGCTGTGACGAACTATGAGACGCCCGTCGCGGACTTTCTACAGTACTTTTGGTCGTAGTTGACGTGCACGCCTTCTTCCAGATTGACGTTACGATCGGCGGTGGGCTGCCGTATTGGAGCGTCTTGATGCGTGTTGTAGTCATCGTCGTCTTCGTCCATTTGAGCTTGCCGCCGCTCTTCTTCCTTCTCTCGCTGGTTCTCTTCATCTAGCAGGTCTGTCATGGCGGCTTGCCACAGTTGGTCGCTCTCTTTCATGCGCCTACTGCGCTTCCGCTTGCCAACGTTCTGCTTCTGCACGCCCGCCTTTTGCGCCGCCATGAGTTTTCGCAGACTCTGCTCGGCAAGAATGCCCTCTTCTGTCGCCTTCTCCCTGATTTTGCGCGGGTCATTTTCGCGTTTTGTGAAGACGGGCGTCGCTGTGTATGTGTGTTTCGACGGGAATCCAGGGAAGTGTTTTGGTATGTATGGACGCGTTTCTTTGTCCGCCTTGCCGGAGAGTCCAGGACCTAGCAATGACTCGGTGTCGGGCGGAGGAGCTTCTGGAGGCGCGGGGGGTGCGAAGTAGGGCTGTAAGACGGACGGCGGGATCTCGCCTGTATCGAAATGTTGTTCGAGAGGCGCAGAGCCGCGCAGGCCGGCGGAAGTGAGGGCATAGATCCAGTCGTGCGCGACCGTTTCGGTGCGTCGCGAGCTGATCATAGACGTGCGTACTTGTGTTAGAAAGTTGGTCATGTCTGTCACGGGTCAGTCTGGAAAACTGCAGTGGGCACTCGCGGCCAGTCTCTGTCGCAAGGTGAAGCCATACAGGAATCAACCAGCGCCCGGAACTCCTCCAACGCGTCCGGACGCGCGCTCTCGAAACCGATGCCTTTACATTGGATGGCTATTGCGCGCCGCAGCTGCTGGTCGAAAAAGTCTTTGCTCTCGCCAAAGACATCGTGCTCGGCGCTGATGGGGTCGGCAATGTGCTGGATCGGCTGCGTGTGGTGCAGCGCCCGTACGACTTGTCGCTTCTTGGGGTGCGGCTCTCCGTACGTCGGCGCATGGTCCGCATCATGTGCCCGCTTCATGCCTGCGATTGCGCCCTCGCTGCTGGCGCTGGGGGATAGTATGATGCCTGGCATATGCTGCTCGTTGTCGCGGATCCGGTGGGAGGGTACGCCGTGGGAGCAGGTTGCGCACGCGATGGTGGTTCCGGGGACGTCTCTATCGGTGGGTAAGGGCGCAGACGGGAGTGAGAGGGCGCATCGGTTGCGAAAGGGTGCCCTCGCGATGGGAGCGGACGTGCAGGCGCGTATTGTTTCTTATTCGATGGTATTGTTCCTTTCACCTGCCTGCTGCCGTTGTTCTTCAGTTGGGTCGGGAGCTTCCAAGGCGCGGGACGCTAGGACGCCTGCCTTACGTCAGCAGCACTGCGTTCTCCCGTCGAACCACCACACCTTCACAGAGCCGCCGACGACATCCACCAGCTCCCGCAAACCGCACCCGCGCCCCAAAACTCTCCGCTCTCCCGAACCCAACTCCGCAATGGCTGTCAAACCGATCACCGGCGTAGGTGCTGCCATTGAGTGCCGTGGGCCGTAGTGCGCTGGACGCTAATGACTGGACTGCAGATGCTCCGACGACAGGTCGTGCTCGACCTCTCTGTCGCTATGGGTGCGTAACAATCGGGCAGTGCATGTCTGCTATTTTCGGGGCTCAAGGAGCTCTGTAGCAATGCGCGCGTCAGCTTTGGACATTGGCTAACAGCAATTACAGGTCTTGGCCTCACTGCCGGCTACGGCTGGTGGTACGGTACGTGAATCAGTCACAGGCGATGCGACTGCGCTTCCTATCCTCAGAAATCTCTATTACGCCAATACTTACTATCCAAGGCTACCACGTCCCTGCCGTCCGTCACCGTGACGCCTTCTACCAGAAGCTCGAAGACGAGCGCGCGTCATCTCTCGGCCAGAAATAAGCGACTGCCCTTCGCGAATCGACATCTCCTTTGTATCGACAGGTCACGAAAGCATAGAATGGGCATAGCTGGGGATCAGATGTATCATAGGTGGGGGGATCTCTCGACAGCAAGCCAAATCAGACTCCGTCAAACGACCCCACGTATGCGTCCTCACGTGTAATGTGCTTTGTGACTACGGCTATCCATACAAATACCCAGTCTCGTCGCTCTTAAGCACTGCTACTTCTTTGTGAAATGACGGCTCCACGCGCTCACAGTCGTCGACATGATTGCTCGAACATGTGATTCTTACGCAGGCCGCTTCATTGGACTTGGGTGTCCTGCACGTCAGAAAATGGCCGTAAAGTTTAGGCTTTTCCAGAATACGATGTGATCCGCATTTACCCATGCCTAACACGAGTCTGATAAACTTGCAGAAGGTTCTCGGGCGGGCTTGAACTTCGTCATATGCCTAAGGTTTACAACCCATCGAAAGGCGTTGTTCGTCGGATCCGCGGCGGCATCATTTCGCTCCTTCCACGTGAAGCCTCCACATCGTGGCAGGTAAGGCGGTCTTGAGCAATCATCTAGAGTGAATGCGCAGTCTCGGGGGCATAGAGAAAGGGGGCCATGGAGTATGCTTATGTATTTCTGAGACATAGAGGAGAGGTACAGATGTCAGAGTGACGACAAGGCTGTTGATTTGGGATGAGTACGTGACGATGAAGATCATCCTCATATCGAATTGGGTGCACTTCATTCAAGGGAGGAACTAGACACTTATCTTCGCAGTACAATCATTGAAGAAAAAGCTAAGAAGGCTAGGTTGGCTTATCGATCTACGAGCTGAAAAATACAAGGCCATGTAGACTTCAGAGCCTTTGTCCGGTTTTCCCCTTGAAGGTGTGGGTGCGCTGTCTTCTCATAGCAACGGTTGCGCAGGGATGATGGCAAAAAAACAAACATAGACGCTTGTTCGCGATCGATGGACGTGATTTGAGGGTAAGCGCACGGACCTATCGTGAGAGTCGCTCCGCTCTTGGAGCGTGGTTGCGAGCATCCATATAGCCCGAAGATACCACTATGTTCATGCCCTTCACCAAATTTTGCCAGTCACAAGGACTGTGTAGAATGCCCCGAAGCAGTAAAGAAAGGCATCTGGCCGTGTTTAAGTTCGATGCAATTCCGATGCATCGATGATGGTGGTTACAAGTCGTCTCACTAAGCGTGCACGAAACTGTTGATAGGCCGTTGTGACGTATCAGGCCAATGACGGAACGCTGTGGATCACGAGGCGCGACGCGACACGTTGTATGCTAGATTGTTTCTTCATCACGAACGCAAGAATTGAATGCAAGAAAGGCCGAACGCTCGACTGCAAGACAAAGCAGCGGTGGGGGGAGCAGAAACGTGTCAAACGCTGGATGCTATTGGCTGGCGTCCGGCTTCATTGTTCCCTGGCGATCATGCCCAATCCATGGGACTGACATGGGACTGCAGGGGGGCTTTCCGCCAAGGATCGACGCGAACCAGAGACGGAAGGGGCAGTGGCGGAGCAAGCGAAACTTGTGTGAGAGGAGGTGGCCTCTTGAATGGGTAGGTGATGGACAGGCAGCTCTAGATGCGGAGATGTCAAGAAAAAGCAGTGTCAGGGATGGAGGGCGTATGAGGGAGGGCAAGGTGACTGCTTTGACAGCGGCGTTGTTGGTTCGGAACGGGGTGGAGGCCCATAGTCCTGTGCCATAGCGTCCGGCGCTTTAGTGCGAGATGTGGATAACTAGTCCTTCACCATCTTTTAGGGCAACGGGTGGCCGATCACCAGCGACCTGGAGGACGAGTACGAGGACGAGTA